CCTGAACTGTGCATCAGTCACTCTCTCTTCTGTCAACTGCGAAGTTTGCGTCGATTGTCGACCTCAATATTCGCGGATTCTGCCATCCTATCCTTGGCGGGGAAGGAAGGAAGCTGCTAAATTGCGACCAATAGGACGCGAAGTGATTATCAGTGTGGAGTCTTGGTCGAGAATCGAGACTTGGGCGGATCCAAGTTCATGTTGGGAAAGGAGGTACCTACTCATGTTCTGCTGTCACAGAATTGCGAGACGGGGCAGATTCGAGAGGCGCGCTGTGATTGAATGAATGAATGTACGAATCAGGGCTCTGTCAATGTGCGCGGATGCCCACACCTCTGATGAGCCGTGTGCCTCGTCTGATTTCTATCTCCACAGCAGCAGCCATCTCTCCGTCGGATGCCTGATGTCCGCGCGCTCCAAGTCGTACGATGTCGCTCTCCTACACCACTCGATCAGGGTTTGTGGTGTGTGCCAAGTACGGTACAGTTGCACAGAGATCAGCAAAGAACACAGGGTGGGTGCATGCGCTGGACTCACTCAAGACTTGAAATGGGCGCCCTCTGACTGGCTGCTGATGATGCTGATGATGCTGGCGCGGCGCGGCGCGGCCTGGCCTGGACTGCTGCATACTGTATATGCTCCATATATATATACATGCATGCACGAGAGACTCCGCGCGCGGCATGCTCCAGCATCATCATGCAGAGTCAATCAAGAGTCACAGCAAAGCTGTGCTGGTGCCTGGGTACAAGGCGGAAAGAATTGAATGCAGAAGCTTATATTGATGTGCATGACTCTCGACGCTGCTTAGTGCGTCAGCTCGCCAAGCAGCGCAAGCGCAGGCGCAGCTTATCGCGTTCCAGATCGATTAAAAGACGATGCAAATGGAGACTACGGTACATGCGTCGATGAATGAATACATCGTAAATCTTGGATGCAAGATGTGGACCTCATCAGATGGTGCAAACCTGCCTGCCCCGAATCAGAATACATCATGCATGTACACAGCACACGATCGCGTGAGCTAGGCGTCGCGATTTCAAATTCTGGAGTCCTGATTTCAAATTGATCGCCTGTACGTCTCATCTGAAGCTCCAAACAACCCGCCTAGCTGACTCTTGACTCAAGCATCGTGGCTAATCTTGAATAGGGAAATCTTCTTATAGAAGCCAAACGTCGAGCTTAGCCCATGTCAACCTTCCGAACTAATCATTCCAAATGCATCACTTCAGTCGTAAAATGATGCATGCCGCAAGCAGGTGAGTCAGTCCCTTCTTACACGGCCAGGCAGCAAAGCGAGGCTTTGAAGCAGCCTTGCGAGATCACGCGTGCGTGTGAGCGCAGCTTTTTTT